TGTGTCGTGCATGGTGTTGAGGAGACTGTGTCAGTTCTCAGTTCATATGGCATGATGAGACGATGCGGCTTGTCCTTCCAATTCAATCAGAGACCTTGTCAATCGTTAGCCTCATTCGTTCCAATAGAGCTTGTCCATGCCATGGTTTTTCGGCCGTACTTTCAAGAAATCGGTTTGCATATTCGCAGCTTTTGCTATGTGCTGTCCGGGTTACCCTTCGAAGAGCTCGTTACACAACATCGGACCCCTCAGCGGTTCCGGATCTGTCAGACCGCAACTTCGGAGCCTTGAGCGCAGCGGTATGCCTGCACCGCGCATGCACAATATGTGATATCCACATAACGAGACACGGCTTCTGTCGATGTTCGAGACAGTGCAGGGTCCCGGTGGGGCTGTCGCGATGGCGAAATCTGCTCAAGCATGAGCGACGTCGCGATGCCTCGCATCGACTAGTCAAGGCAATCACAACACCTCGCTTGTCGACAACGACAGTGCTCTGAACACCTGCAGCTGGAGTTTCGTCCGGGTCGTCGCAGCGGTCAGCGAGCCGTGCGAGGACGCCGACATGGTACCTTGATGCCCAACGGACGATCAAGGCCGGCCTCAAGACGGACCGCAAATTGAGAGATACAGCCGAGATGCCAATATACGGCTTACACGCCGGGACCGCTTCGCACATCATAAGCAAGTCATCCAAAGCCAAAGCTAAATCGTTCTGACTGTGGTGATGCCCAACGCAAGCGACGAAATGTGGAACTGAGCACATTGCGAAACTGCAGTCCTGGATCCTCGTGGGTTCTTGTGGAAGCGAGAATGTGTGGCGGAGTCAGACAGATGTCGTGCAGTAGAGAGGCCGGTGACCCACTGTTAGAAAGCTTGACTAGACGCGAGATGTACTGAATTGTAAACTCGTTTCGAAGTCGTTGCGAGTTTCGAGATGGCTACTGTTGATGCGACAAGAAGTGTGGTAGGCAGATTCGATGAGAGGATTAGTGATCGAGTTCTTAAACCCAGAAAGGCAGCAGCCCAAGTGAAGAGGCCTTGGTAATGTGGCGTAGACTTATCCACTAGACTTCTGTTTGGCGCAAGAGGAAAGAGCACGTAAAGAGAAGAAGAGGTTTTGGGGAATGCGCATATAATGAGGTAGCTGCTTCTAGAGTTGGTAGTTCCTTCCTCCAGTCTGTTGACCACTTCGTCATCTCACCAATCGTCACTTCTTAAAGTCATCAACGGTCGACCACTGCAAGTCTTCTCTCAGTCCTATCACCACTTCAGACTCACTCTCAAACCAAGTTGTCGAACTCGCAATAGCTTCATAGCAATCATATACCCGTGCTGGTCGCGTTCCCATATCTCAATCTCTATTTCCGAACCTCAGCTTTGGCAAGAGCAATGCGCACCCAACACATGGCAGTGTGGGGAAGCAGGAACGCCATGTCGTTCTGTGCGACTGTGACTCCCACGAGCTTCGACTGCCTATCGGCATGCTCGCAAGCACGGAGCGCGAACGCCATACTATGAGTATCGTACTACCATCAACCTACGCGAAGAACTCTGAATCTTTCGCCAACGTCTGTCACCTACACCACCAATATCATTTCTTCCTCTATCATGGCTCTGTAAATATACGCATCGCGCAAAGGGGAGACACAGCAGTCTATCGCTATCACAAAAGGCATGAAGACGAGAAAGAACAACCATGTACCGCTACACTTCCGCACCTCCCTCCCACCACTCACACACCTACCTGCATCCTCCCCTCTACCCTCACAGACTCACCTCGAGATCCTACGACACAACTTACATGTCCAGACCCTACCCGTACACAGAACCACGTCGCTACAATTCCTACTACGAAACTACGTACGCACGACCCGGCACATCTCACAGACCAAGCACTTCATACCGACCCTCTCAAACAGAATATTGGAGATACGTCAAACCAGTTCAAACACAGCAGCCAGAAAGACCACCGCGCAAGAGCAATCTCAAGAAGACGGAGGGCAGACACGTTCATTTCGATCTTCCGCCTGCTCAGGGGACGTCGAGCAGGACGGTCAGGATTGCAGAGGAGGAGAGGCAGAGGGAACGGGAACGTGTTAGGGCGAGGGAGAAGGAGAGGGAGAAAGATCGAGAGAGGGATAGAGAGAGTAGAAGAGAGAGTAGAAGAGAGAGGGAAAGGGAGAGCAGATACATACCACCACCACCCCGACCCCCCATACGGCACGACGACACTAGCGATAAGATGCCTAAGAAGCAGTACGCCACCTACTCCCACTCCTTCGAATACGACTCCCAACTCCACCACCGAGAACGATATCGTTCTTCCACTCCGCCTCAACGGACCACTTTACCTCGCTCTACTTCATACCACACCCACCAATCCTCCCACCCTCCCCTCCACCAACCCACCTACCACACACCCATCCCCGCAACCCCAACCGTCTACATAATAACCTTCGCCACGGACCTCACACCTTCAGAATCCACGCGCGCCTCCCTCCTCTCCTCCCAACTCCCCATCCGCACCCCACCAATCCCACACCTTTACACCATCGACGCGCGCACCGTCCGTCCACCCTCACCCTCTCTATGCCGGGAGTACTCAGGCGTGAGTCCACGGATCCAAGACATTGTCATGGAAGACAGTGAGGCGAGGTATGCGGCGCGGAAAGCCGTGGAGAGGGTAGTTAGGTTTGGGGAGCGCGCTAGAAGCAGGGATGGTGGAAGGGGGAGGGAGATGGAAGTCAGTCTGAGTGTGTGTTGTCACTCTGGTACACATCGCAGTGTAGCGATTGCGGAACGCATAGCGCAGTGTGTTAAGAGTGAAGTGGGGAGGAGGGGATGTGAAGAGGGTGTGAGGGTTGTGTGTCGGCATGTTCATCGGGTCAAGGGACGGAGGGATCCTTTTTGATGGGGCTGTGTTTGTTTGAGCTGTGAGAGAAACGGGAGTAGACGGAGAGTGCTGGGTTGTAAATTGGATTAGAGAGCACAGGGGCATGTTGTGATAGATGGTAGAGAACAGTGCGTGATACCCTAGACTATTGGACACGGGGAAATTGGAATTGGAACTTCGTATTCATTCTTCTTACATGATCCTTATAAAAAGCGCTATACTCCTAAATCGGCTGTGTGAACCCAGTTCATGCAGCCAGATACATATCGATACCCAAAACCTCTCGATCTCTTTTGATATCGTGCCGTTCCCCTCAATCTTCTTTTGTACATTCCAAACCTTCTCTCTTTTCTCTAGGCAGTCTTCTTCTTCCCAATGCTAGTATCAATGCTACCCACGACCCACGTAACAGCAAACACGGCAAACATGCCCAGAGTAATAACAACGGGCTTCCGGTATCCAGCAGTCCAGGGGTAGTCGTACGTGACAACGAGGTCACGGTCTCTGAACTCATCAACCAGGTTAATAGCCGTGAGTTCGAGTGTGGTGCGGCCGAGGGTATCCATGAAAGTCTTGTGGAGGCTAGTTTCGTTGCTGACGATAGGCACAGTGGTGGAGAACTTGACGTTCTTCGCGCCTTCGGGGAGGATGACGCGCAGGTTTACGCGGCCGTAGGAGATGCCTTCGCCGGAGCGGGGGCCCTCGAGGAAGGGCACTTTGAGCGCGTAGGTGTCGCCCGTGGAGAGCTTGCGCAGGTACGAGGATAGGTCTGCGTTCCAGCCAACGCGGAAGCTGTACTTCCAGGTTCCGAACACGGGGTAGCGCGGCTTCAGTTCCAGAAGGGCTTCTTTCTTGCCCGGGCGGAACTTGGAGGTCGAGACGTTACCGATGTCGTCGGTGAAGTAGGGGTCGACGGCGCCGGGGGCGAGGGGCAGAGCGAGGCCCTTGAGGGCGAAGGTGGGTGGGTTGAGGTAGGACTGGCGCTGCCATTCTACGCGCGAGAAGTGGTTCTTGAGTCCTGCGCCTTGGTTGACGAGCCAGTAGCGCTCCTCGGATGCTAGGTTGCCGCCCCAGTGCGAGACCTCGATGTCGCGCTCCAGCAGTGTCGCGTGGGTGACGGGCTTGGTGAACTCGTAGCGCACGCTTACGGCCTGCTGGGCGCCTGCGGGCACGTTGTTGTAAAGACCGTATGTGAAGGTCGAGCCTTGCTTCTGGGGGTCGGCGGTCTGCTCGTCGTTGAGCTCCGAGGGAAGGCTCGTGTAGTCTGGCACATCGCTGTTGGGGAACTTGACCTTGGTTCGCTGCTTCTCGGTGAGGTAGGCCGAGGGTGCGTATGCGCTGAAGTCGTATTGAATGTACTGCTTGTCCGTCTGGGCGATCTGGGCGGGGACGGGCTTCAGAGCCGAGGCGATCGAGTAGGAGATGCTGATGGTTTGTTGCGCCTTGGGTGCGAGGGGCTCGGGGAGGTGGATCTTGTAGAACTCGACGGAGCTGTCCCGGTCAGTCTCGACATGTAACATCAATCGCACCATTGCCTACCTCTCTGCATCAAAGCCCACCACCTCGACCTTGAAGATGCCCTTCTCAGCCGCCTTCTTGTCTCTTACTTCGAACCCTCCAACTTTGGACAATGTGCTCGAGTCGAATGGCAGGTAGTATTCTGATTGCGCCTTGTCGTCAATGTTCTCGATTATGACATTGATCGTCTCCCTGACGTATGCCTTGTCCAGGTTCGTCGTCCGGACTAGGTTGGCATTCTTGAACACCTGCGGTGGTGTAAATGTGCTGGGTAGCACTTGCTTGGATAGCAGCGGTTGTGACAGGTTGAGTTCGGCGCTCGCGAAGCTCGAAAGCGCTGCTATGCAGCTCGTAAAGAGGAAAGACCTCATTGTTGGACCAGCAGTCAAGCTATCCAGTCATGTATGAGGTCGGTGGTGAGGGAATTGGGTTGGCTGGCAGGTTGGGCAGTCGGTGGTTACGCGGCGGATGTTGCGTCGTAGGTGTTCTCTTCGGAGTTCCCTGGCACCTCCGCGTCTTGGCGCGACAGCTCGAGCTCACCCCTCCATGTCTAGCTTTCTACCCACCCTCACTCTCTCACGTCACTATGAGACTTCTAGCACGTTCATTTGGTAGGCCAAGGATATCTGCCAGTCGCAATGGCATTGCGACTGCATCGGGAAGGCGCCATTTGACCAACAATGGCTTCTTCCGTGTCTCGGAGGAGGTGCGCGAAGCTCTACACTCCAAAAAGCCCGTCGTCGCGCTGGAGACGACAATCTACACTCATGGTAGGATTGAAAGATATGCGTAAGCGCATCGTTTGCTAACTCACGTGACAGGCTTTCCCTACCCTGAGAACGTAGCCCTCGCATCCCTCCTCGAAAGCGTAGTCCGAACGAATGGCGGCATCCCAGCTACTATTGGTATTCTAGACGGTGTAGCACGTGTAGGCATGGATCCAGAAGAGCTGATCAAGCTGGCTTCTTCTGCTGGTAATCCAAACACAATGAAGCTCTCGCGACGAGACCTCGGCTATGTATGCGGTATGCGACTGACCGACAAGTCCTTCAATGACGGTACAACTATATCAGGCACTATGCTGCTCGCTCACCTCGCTGGCATTAAGATCTTTGGAACAGGTGGCCTTGGTGGGGTTCATCGCGGCGCTGAGTCAAGCATGGATATTTCTGCCGATTTGACAGAGCTCGGCAGGACTCCGGTCACCGTTATCTCTAGTGGCTGCAAGAGCTTCCTCGACATACCACGGACGATAGAGTATCTTGAGACCGAAGGCGTAGGTGTAGGCACCTTCGCCGATGGACGACAAGGCAATGTAGACTTCCCTGCCTTCTGGTCGAGGGACAGTGGAGTCAAGAGTCCCACGACCATTGCGGATGAGATCGAGGCGGCTGCTGTCATATGTGAGTCTTCAAATCCCCTTCTTGTTCCATTACTAATACCATTTAGATGCGCAACACGCACTCCAAATCTCATCTGGTCTCCTCTTCGCCAACCCCGTTCCTATCGATTTCGCTATACCCAAGGATGAAATGGATGTGATCATCGCCGAAGCTCTGAAACAAGCTGAAGCAGCCAACATTTCCGGCAAAGACAACACACCCTTTGTGCTTGCTAAGATCAAGGAGCTCAGCAAGGGCAAGAGTATACCCGCCAACAGGGCCCTTATAGAATCGAACGTGAGACGGGCCACCATCGTAGCACGAGAGCTTGCCATACTTGAAGCAAAGCAGGAAGAAGCCCAAGGGTGAGCCAGCACTCTTGTTGCTTAATGTAGACTGGCACTGATGTAAGTATGCTAGACGAAGTTCCTCTTACTTCACTCCTGTTCAGTCCAGTCCCGCTTCTACTATGGGAGAGCAACTGAGTAATGCACCTCCATCACCTTCTGAGCCTCCTTCAACTCCCGTTACCTCGATCTCATCCACGACCGAGTCTCAACAAGTCCCAGATGTAGTCGTTGCAGGTGCCCTCGCGGTCGACTTTTCGTGTGACTATGCTCCGTTTACAGCCTCTACGAGCCAAACAGAACCACTACCTCACACCTCGAACCCAGCAGTCATCACCCAAACACTGGGAGGCGTAGCGCATAACATTGCGAAGGCCTCTCACCTCCTAGGCTCCTTTGTCCATCTCCACAGTGCCGTTGGCGACGACCTGAGCGGCCGCGCAGCCCTCAGCCAGCTGCAATCGGAAGGCATGCCGATAACCGGTATCAAAACCCTCCCAGCCCCATCCCGGACAGCCCAATACGTCGCCATCAACAACACGAACAAAGACCTTGCCCTCGCCATGGCAGACATGTCAATCTTAGAAACCATCCCCATCGATACAATCCAAGAACTCGCGGCCAGCATCTTCACCACCACCTCTCCCCGCCCCAAAGCCTTCGTCACAGACGCAAATTGGTCGTCACCCGCTCTACACACCTGGCTCCAAGCCGCCCGTCACCCCGATACAACCACGATCTTCGAGCCTGTCTCCACGGCAAAGGCGCTGCGTATATTCCCTTCCACCTCCACCACCACGGCCGCACAATCCATCTACCCCACCCCCCTCGTCGACATCATAACACCAAACACGTACGAACTCACCGCTCTCCACGATTTCGCCGCCCAATCCTCCCACTTTGAATCCCCAGAATGGTTCGGTGTGATAGACGCCCTGGGTATACCCAACGGCGGCTTACGCGTCCCGCTAGCCGTCACCGTAGGAAGCGAACTAGTCGACCAAGGCATCCCCCAACAAACCATCAAACTCTTGCCTTTCTTCCCTACTATCCTGACGAAATTGGGGAGCAAGGGCGTGTTGATGACGAAATTGCTCACGAGCGATGCGGAGGAGTTGTATGATGAGGGGGAGAGGGGGTATGTGCTTGCTAGGAACCTTTCGTCGATGGATTCGGCTGGTGGAGATGGGATGGGGAAGGGCAAGGGCGTTGGGGGTCTTTACGTTAGACTGTTTCCGGTGGAGAAGGTGCTACAGCCCAGTGAGGTGGTTAGTGTGAATGGGATTGGCGATACGTTTTGTGGGGCGGTGGCGCATGGCTTGGGCAGGGGGATGAGGGTTAAGGATGTTGTCGCGTTTGCGCAGAGGGCGGCGGGGGAGAGTTTGAGGAGTAGGGAGGCGGTGGGGGAGGGGTTGAGGGGGCTGAGGCTGTAGGATGGCAAGGCGGGCATGGTGGGAGATCTCCTCCTGTTGATCTACATGAGAGAGACACGTAGTTCAAAGATACTGTATCTACAAGGCTGCGATACAGAATGCTATAGTTTATCGGCTTTGTGATCGCATGACTACCTGCTTTGACCGATTCAAACACATACACACACACACACACACACACACACACACAGAGAATTTCACACCATCACATCTCCCAGCAATCCCACAACGATGACTAGTCATCTTCCAACCCACCACTTCCAAGCCGAGATATCGGATTTTGACCCACGGCAGAGGATTGGGAGGAGCTCTCTCCATGGAGCGGTTCCATCATCGTTTGTTTTGGATACGCGAGCTGCTGGAGCGGGATCTCATCGAAAGGTGCAAGAGCCATTTTTGGAGAGAAGACCCCAGACCATGAGTGTGAATGGTGGGGTTTCTTTTTGGAAAGAGAGAGGAAGTGTGTTGAAGAAGAATGAGTGTGGATATGGGGTTTATATACACGGGAATTGAGTCATGAGGTCAGCGACGTTGGATTTGGAGGTAATAGTTTGAGGTATTATCGCAGACTCTGCAGAACTCGCAGAGACATAGCCCTCTGCGTAGGAGTTTTGGTCTCTCGCATAAAAGTCCTTAAGCATACTTTCAGTAATGTGTCTTAGTTTCGCACTTGTATCGGGTGATGCTTATAGTTTTTGTGGGAACTGCACAAACATCGAAGAGGTAGGAGAAGCTTTGGGATGTGAGAAAGTGGGAAACCCTGGGTTCTGTCCATGGTTGAGAATGTAAGATACTTCAGAGATGCTCTCAATGGGTCTTTTTGCATTCTGGTTTTGGTCGCACGAATTGTCTTCTCGGATTCTCATGGTTAACTTGATAGGCTCTTTTTGTTCGGCGAGGAGATCCTCAGACCATATAAATGGTGTCAATAGATTTTAGAAAGTAAAGAAAGAAGTGTTGTAGAGAAAGAACCGTTGAAATCTGGGGTTTATATACAGCTGAAGACATGGTCACAGCGCAGTGCTATCTCAGAGATTTGGTCGCTCTATGCGTATTTCAAACTCGACGCTCTCAGCCACATGGATTGAAGTACCTCGTCTTTCCAGGACGAACACATGGCTCTGCTCTGGCTCTGTTTTGGAGATACAATAGCTGATACCATATGCCACGGTCTCAAACTCATCGTACTTCTCTCTGGGCGGTTTGGAAGGGAGGAGGAACATCAAATGCTCCAGGTACAAGTTTTGGAAAAGAGAGAAGAACATAGAAACCTTCGCATAAGAGTTTTAGTAAACTCAAGAAGCTGAGTGTGATAGAGTACAGTAGAGATAAGCGCGAGGGTATTTATATGCACGGCCGCGCAACTAGAAGACACCCATATATAGCAGCGAATGAGTTTTCGGTGTTACAAGCTCGACACCCTCAGCCACATCATCATACTCAGTCGCGATTTTTCGGACGCACACATGGACTTGTCCAGGATTTGTTTAAGAGACACTGTATGCAATGCCAAATCTCATAGTCTCGAACTCATCTTGTCTTTATGTCGGCCTTTTGGAAGGAAAGACACATGTCGCGGAATTTGAGTACGTTTTTTTGGAAGAAAGAAACCATGACTCAGATTCGTACACTTTTGGTAGACTCTGGAAGAGTGTGTGGTAAATAAGAGCAAAGGTAGCAGCGGGGGTGTTTATATACACGGCCGCCAAGCCGCGAGACACCACATGTGAAGTCGTTATGTACATCTTTGGTGCTCTAAGCTTGACGCTCTCGACAGCATCCGATGGTCGGAGACCAGTATTTTGACGCGCGCACTGCGATGTTTCCAGTTTGAGCGACAATCTAACCGACATCAAAATCCAGAGGCTCGACTCCATCCTCGATGACGGCGTTGGTTTCAGGAAAGACAGCACACAGCCGTATCTGCAATGAGAATAGTTCTTGGAAGGACAGAAGACCATCAAACATTCCCACATTGTTTTTGAGAGGACGTAAGAACAGGATGAAGCGGGAAGAGGTTTTCCCAGATGCAGGGATATGTCTAGTCATTTATTCGGCGACCTAGCTGATGCGAAATCCCGGAGGGTCAGACTCATAGTCTTGGTTGTTGCGCCTTTGAGGAAAGAGGGCATCACAGACATTCTTGTCTGATGTGGCTTTTTGAAAAAAAAGGAGAGGACCATATGCATGTATTGATGCATCTTTTGAAAACCCAAGAAGTAGAGTGTGATACAGAAGAATAAAGGTGTTGCCAGTGGTATTTATACCCGACCGCCCCATGCAGAGAGAAAGCTCATAGCTCATCACTCTCCACTTTTAGGTATTCATACGATACATCCCGCACTCATCTCCGGCATAAGATCGTTTATGCCCTTTTTCAGATTGCAGCGATACATTGTGGGCATATGTTCGCTCTTGTGCCTTTTCAGCAGAACATTAGAATGGCTGGTGTCCTTTTGTGCCACTTTCAGGCCGTCGAGCAGGACATTTTCGATGTTGTGAATCCTTTTGGAGAGACTCTCCAGGCCAGACAGGACATTGGTAAAATTGGATGTAGTTTTGATCCCGAAGGATAAAGTAGTGGATGATAGGAAGAAGGTAGCAGAGACGCCAATCGAGAGTTTATATACCCCGGATTTGCTGCGGGAGGAGGAGAGAGCTGCACTCCATGGAGCATTTCAATCGATGTTTTGCAGTAGGGACGATCTTCGCAAGTCCCACTCGTCCTCGACCATAGGAACAGTTTTTCATCTTTTGAGAGAAGCACACACCATTCTCTTCTTTCACGTCATGTTCTTGTTTCTTTTTCTTTCCGCTGTTGTGATCCCCAGCGTAATGCCGCAACATGCAATATTCCTGGTAGTTTTTTCGGTCGCTCCGACGAACGCGCCATAGTGACCTTAAGTCGCATTTTTGGTAAAAGAGGAAAAGGTTTTGAGGTAGATGATAGAAGAGAGAACTAAGAGCGAAGAGGCGTTTATATACTCCCCAGCCAGTCTATACAAGCGCACAGGAAGCGGAGACGCCGGAGACCATGCGGCGTATCAGTGGCGTTTTGAATATTTCGGTAATGTTGTGAAGACCTCCGCGATCGCTTCATCCTGTGACAGATTCGATATTTCGAAGTTCGCACAAGTCATGCCGGGTTTCCGTAGATGTTTTGTTGACGCGGAAGAGAACATGTAGTGGTTGAGACATCTTTTCAGAGGCGCGCACATGCCATCGCTATAGCCTATTATGACTTTTGGTGCTCACAGCCGGACACCCATGGAGGGTTCGATGAATAAGTTTTGGAAACACGAAGTAAGAGTTTGTGGTGTAGAAAGGAGAAGCAGAGCGAACTCTGAGGTGTTTATATACCCTCACACCTCACATCTCACTAGCGCGTAGTACGTCGAAGACGTAGAAGACCCGCAGGCCATTGGCCATGCGTATGCTCATTGGAGGTTCCGAGTGTGCAAGTTCTCACAGATTCCTCTCTCATAACATCGCTAGCTGCTAGTTTCTCGTCTCCATCTTTCTTCTGGATGGTACTTTTGGTAGTTTTTCGCAGGAAGACTCGTCATGGTACGGACTTGAAGAAGATTTTGAGTTCTGCAGAAGGGAGGGAACAGACTTCGATCATCTTGACCCTGACTTTGAGGGAGACCGAAGCATGGATGCGTAGGAATTCCATTTTTGGAAAGAGCGGACAGAGAACCATGGGAGTGTCGTAGCTTGCTTTTGGTAAATCCCGAAGGGAATGGTGGTAATGAGGAAAGAAGAAGAGGATCGGTAGGTAAGATTTTATACCCGCGCTTCTTGCTACTCCGCATGAGTGATGGCTCAAACCAGACGCTCCGCAAACGAGATCATGGCCGGCTTCTTTTGTCTTTTAGTGAATGCACCACTCTCAGTCTCTCTCATATCTCCAACTTTTCATCTTTTCAGAAACATCGTCAGCGACAAACAGATTTTCGAGTGAGAGACCGGAAAGCGGAGAAGAGAGACATTGTCCTTGAGCCATAGGTTTTTGAGAAAGAAGGAGCAGAAGAGCCATAGCTCGTACATCCAGTGTTTTTGTAAAAGCCCAAAGGCATGTAGAGTGATAAAGACAAGAAAGAGGTAGAAGAGGGGGTTTATATATCCATCCACCTGCTCAGCCGCTATTCCAAATTCGTTATACGGATTGGAAGCAGGAGGACGGACAGCCATATGCAGAATGCCGACCTGTTTTGGTACGACAACCCCACTCTTACTCTCTCCATGAAAAGATCCTTGATTGTTTTGGTAGACGCAGCGAGAGCCACTCCATCATCTTTTAGTGTGCGCTTTTCTCGCACAGCCATCATTTTCTTTGTCGTCCTCTTATAGCACAGCCATGTCACTCTATCTCGATCGTTTCAGACACTGGAGGAGGATCGCACAGGACAGACTCCATGCAACCTGAGCATCTCTATTTTGAAGACGAGAGAGACAATCCATGTGTCCTTCATCTCTTGTTTTAGAAAAAGGCGGAGAAGACAGCGGACTCCATAACATGTTTGAATAGATCTTTCAGTAGAAAAGAAAGCCGAGGAAGCGAGACACTCCATCGCAAGTATGTATGTGAGTTTGAGAGGAAGCGCGGAGCAGACATGGCAACCCGGTATCCTTGTTTTGGAGAGCGCGAGGGAGAGACACTCCATTTCGCGAATATCTGCGAAATTAGAGAAAGGCAGAGAAGCAGACAGACTCCATGCAAGCTTTGTCATGTCTTTTTTTGTGGAGAGAAAGGCAGGCAGACACACTCCACTTTTCGGTTCTCAGTCAATTCTGGTGTAAAAGGCGAACAGAGAAGCCCTCCCCCTCATGGTTCGAGGCTTGCAGATTTTTGGAAGAAAGAGCAGACACACTCCATATTAGCTGCTTTTGTTGTTTTTGGTAGAAGCACAGTCAAGTGCGTAGGATAAAGAGAAAAGAAGTGCAGTCGAGAGAGGGGTTTATATACCCCAACCCCACTCCTCTCTCCTCTCCATCTT